GATAGGATAGGATAGGATAGATTATAGAATAGAATAGAAGATAGGATAGGATAGGATAGATTAGAGAATAGAATAGAATAGAATAGAATAGAAAATAGGATAGGATAGGATAGATTAGAGAATAGAATAGAATAGAATAGAATAGAAAATAGGATAGGATAGGATAGAGAATAGAATAGAATAGAAGATAGGATAGGATAGATTAGAGAATAGAATAGAATAGAATAGAATAGAATAGAATAGAATAGAATAGAATAGAAAAAACAGAGTTGGAAGGGACCTTGGAGGTCTTCTAGTCCACCCCCTGCCTAGGCAGAAAACCCTATACCATTTCAGACAAATGGTTATCCAATCTTTTCTTAAGAACTTCCAGTGTTGGAGCACGCACAACGTCTGTAGGCAAGTTGTTGCACTGATTAATTGTTCTCACTGTAAGGAAGTTTCTCCTTAGTTCTAGATTGCTTCTCTCCTTGATTAGTTTCCACCCATTGCTTCTTGTTCTACCCTCAGGTGCTTTGGAGAATGGGATGCAATCTGGGTTGTGCAGCCAAAGTCTGGAGATGGCAACTGACCTCAGTTACAGACATTGTACAGCAGGGGTGTCAAATTCAAGGCCCACGGGCCAGCGGGGTGCTTAGATCTGGCCCGCCCTGGAAACAGTGAAGGACCAGCCTGCAGTGCCTCTGCCAAACGGAGCTCGGGAGGGCCACACGCAACACCCCCCCCAGGCTCCATTTTTGGCAGAGGGCTAGTAAGCCAAATTTAAAAATAAAACAAAATGAGAATTTTTTTCCCCTTTTGCACCAAGGTGACACAGTGGTTAGAGTGTAGCACTGCAGGCTTCTTCAGCTGACTGCTAGCTACAGTTCGGCAAATCAAATCTCACTGGCTCAAGGTTGACTCAGTCTTCCATCCTCCTGAGGTGGGTAAAAGGAGGACCCAGATTGTTGGGGGCAAATGGCTGACTCTGTAAACTGCTTAGAGAGGGCTGTAAAAGCACTATGAAGTCTAAGTGCTATTGCTATTTGCATGTGAACATGCAAGAAGGGAAAGGAAAGGAGAAAGGGAAAGAGGAAAGACAAAGAAAAAGAAGGGAGGATGGGAAAAGAGCATGGAAGGAAAAAGAAGGAAAGAGGGGAAGGAAGAAGAAAGGTGAATGAAGAGGGAAGGAAAAAGAAGAAAAGGTAGGTAGGTAAGAAAGAAGAGAGGAAGGAAGGAAGGAAGGAAGGAAGGAAGGAAGGAAGGAAGGAAGGAAGGAAGGAAGGAAGGAAGGAAGGTTATAATAAGCGTGAGGAAGGGTCTGAGGGAAGTCCTACCTTAGCACTTGGCCACTATAGGTGCCCCCGACACAAATGATATCGAGTTGTCATGCCCCCTCCTCCCAGGTAAAACACAACCCTGTTGTAGCCCCCAATGAAATCGAGTTTGACACCCCTATTGTACAGTCTACTCTGCCTTCTCCCTTTGGCTGATGGGCATCACACTGGGGCAGAGGAACTGGCAGGGTTGCCAAATAAATGGTTGAAATCTTCCCAAATCAGAAGGCAACATTGATCAATAAAACACAGAAGGAAGAGGAGGAAAAAATGGAGGAACAGGACAATATTACTCTGTTTAGAAACTGGGTGGATCTAAAACTGTCAGAAACATAGCCTGGGAAATATAAAGTTTGTTAGGCCAGCAAGATTTCGCTCTGGGCCTCTTGATTGTTGGCTTGACTAGCAATCGTTTGCTATCCCAGATAATCACCAGTTAAGAATTGTGGTTTCTGTAAGAAGAAGAAGAATATCTGCAAGAAATATCATCTGCCTGCAAGCAAAGAACTGGTTGGACCTTGACAGGCAGAAGATGCTAAAATGCACGGGGACTTTAGAATTCAAACAGACAAGCCCTCGCAACACAACATTGCAAATGTAATTCTTAATAAGAAAGACAGAAAAATAAAAAGGACATGGCAGCACCTGCAGACAGCAGAACTCAAGAGATAGAACTGGAGAAAATGGCAAATAGAAATAGATTGGCTCTGGTAAAACATCCCAAAGGTGCTTTTTCAAGAGGCAACTGGACTTTCTGGTTTTTTGAAGACATTTCGCTTGTCATCCAAGAAGCTTCTTCATCTCTGACTGGATGGTGGGGAATGGAAAGATTGATACTCCTTGCAGACAGCTGCTCATTTGCATCCTTTTAAAGGGTCCTTGAGGCCACTTGGAGATTTATCTGTGTCCTCAGGGTCACCTGAGTGGTGCAAATGGGTGTGGAGCTTTTTGGGAATTGCTGAAAGGACTGGGTTGTGGAGCTGTGCTTTCTGCGAGATGTTTTGTGCCCTGTGTCTTCACTGATGAATGCAAGCGTGGGCTGTGTGGATGAATCTGTGTTATTTGCATCGCAAACTGGAGCCCAAATGGT